TGCCGGCTCCCAAGCCGCCAGAGATCTGCGTGGCTAATTGGGTGTACAAAGGATTTTCGGGTTCGCTATTGTCCGTTTGTAGCTTTGTTTGTCGGCGTCATGGGCAACGATTGGGCACACAATCGGAGAAGCCGCTTCTGACAGAGCGGAAATGGAGACACGTATTTCCACGTTCTCAAATGCTTCAGAGTTTTCGCAGTGTTTTTCGATGTCGAGGCTAGTGCTTGTGGTTGATTTGTTGGCCATCTTCTCCGTTTTTCTCTACACATCCGGTCCAATCCAGCTCACAAGCTGTAATATCGGTGGGGAGTTTACTGCTATGTCTTCATTGTTCGTTACCGAACTAAGCCATGCTAGGTCTGCGCACTTTGAACGCTCGGTCCACGCAAGTCTTACCTCCTCCCGAGCATCTCTTAATTTCGTAGCCGGGTGGTCCGCGGTGGGTGGGAAGAAGCTGCAGTGCGGAGTCTGGGCTGGTTGAATCGGTGCGCTATCAAGCACTTAAGGGGGCATAAATGCCATGGGATTGGCCATATATTTGGGGTCTCCTGAACTTGAGCCAAGCGGAAGCTTGTATTGCGCCTCTCCTTTGAGACTTTTGTGGCCTAGTTTCCGCACCTCCAGAAAGCAACCCTCGGATAAACCTTTGATCACTGAATAGGCCTCCTCAGTTTTGACAGCGCGTTCCAGCATCTTCTCTACAGTAGGCGGCGCGGAATTGGCGACTAAAAGCCAAAAGGTTCCCCTACTTCTCTTTCCAAGAAACCTCTGTGCATGGAACGATCCGTGTTCGGGCTTTGTGAGATCGCCGCTAGGGACCGATAGTTCCATTTGTGGCACGATTTTGCTGGTGAACGAAACCGAGCGTCTGAACACTCAAGACACTGTGGCGGTCTTGGTTGCCAGATTGGAGAGCTGAATGAGCTCCTTTGAAGCTAGAGGACCAGAAATGGGTAGCATTAGGTACTCGTTCAATGACAATTAATTACTGACTTTCATCCAGGTTGGTCGATTCTCAAGAGCTTTAGAAAGAAGCTCTAGTTTTACAACGCATATCCCGATTAAAACGGAACATTGGCACTGGTCTTTCCGAATCAGCAGTCCGGGCTTGGTTTCGTTTTTGGTAGCTCACTTTTTAGGTACCGAATTCCTGCCACTGTTAAAGCATAGGCGGCCGGTGCAAATGGGTCAACAGAGTTAGAAAACTGGCTTATCATGTTGTCCTGTTGAGATGTCCATATATAGTGTCACAAGGACTTTGCACGTATGGTATTCCATACCACGCCATACATTCGATGGACATCCGTTCCGGTTACATCCGTTGTGATCTAGCACTAGCAGTGGAGAGCAGCTTGTAATGATTAGGTCATGACTGAGACGGACCGCACCGCAGGAATTGAGTACAAGCTGACAAGGGTTTTCACGCAAATGTGCTGGAATGAAGACTTCAACAACATGAGACGTGTTAAACCCGAAGACAGATTGAACATCGAGAGAATACGTTCAAACATTTCCGCGAGCGAAAATCGAATCTGCTCGTCATCCTACATCAGCTTCGATATACCGGTATGGATCGCCTCGACGGACCGAGAATCCCGCCGCCCACCGAATTGCACAACACCGATCCCGTGAACTCAAAACTGACTGAAACCGAAGTAAGTCAGCTCAACGGCGGTAACTTGTCTTATGCCACACCCATAACTATTATCTTCCTACCCTTATCTGTAATCTCCCAGCGAGTCACTCGTTTGGCTACAACTACGAGCGCATTCGTTACGTGGACTTAACTGCCTCTCGAGAGGGTTTGTACCAATCGGCTGAGACATTCTTTTACATCTATCTTGGTGCATTTTCTGCCTGTGCTTCCCACAGAGTCAATCATTTCTCTTCTGATTTGCATTCTGTCCCATGCATTAGCATAACTTCACTCCCCATAGGAATTATTAGATCCGAGTCTGAGTCGACAGAAACGCCAGTAGGTCAGTTGAGTTTCACTATACACCGTGTTTCTTATATTTAGTCCACCATATACCGTATTGCCAATATCTCAGATTAATTGTACCCATCAAAGCCTATTGTGGTTTCAGCCAAAACCCTAGCGTCCCAGGCCAAGTAAGCTTACGAATGGTTTTGGCCTTTAGTTCCTGCTTGCCTGCAGGATTGATGCAACACAGCTGCTTCACAAGATTCATTGTTGGCGTCCCATATTTACCTCAATTTGCAGTTTTCGTATCATACCAGGCACAACGCCTCAGTTTCTCCTTCATTCGTTGTGCTGTTGCTCCTCATCTTCCGATTGCCGTGATACGATCTTGCCCACAAATGTTATGTTCCACCAACGATAGGAGACCCGCAAATACTGTCTCTCTCTCCCTGATCTCCATCGCATTTTGATCGTGCCAGGTAAGGTATGACCGCATTTGTGTCGGAGGATGACAAATATCTCTGTGACTGCCACATTTCCGCGCAAACTTGAGTGGCCAAAAATCCCATCGCTCTTGCTTCATTTCTCCCTGCACCATTTTGAGCGTGCTGGCGGTACACCACCCACATATTAAGAATAACCACTACTTTTTATTAATGATAAACCTGCCACCAAAGTGCATGATCTGGTTGCAGCAGTGTTGTTTCCTATCTGAAACGGAATACTCTTCGACACTCCTGAGAATTAAGTGAACGCAGACCTGTTTCTTTGTAGATTTTTAACGATCTTAGGTTCACGCCCGCAGCTTACACTTCTTAACAAATTTCTGCTGTTTTGTGACGGTTCGTGGATCCTGAGACCGCTAATAGCTAGGGACGGTGCTCTACAGGCTCTGTTTCCTTTCTACCAGGGGCCACCCCATAGTAAACGACGAGATTTATATGCAATGGTGAAAAATGTCAGCACCTGCTTGCACCTGAGGGCTATTAGCTTACGAAGGTTGGAAGCCATAAAATGAGCGTAGGCCGAACATCAACCTGATCTACATCTTTTATACCATTGAGCATATTCCCACGTCAGCCGCCTCGAGCGCAACATTCCTATCAACACAATTTTTGTGCTTCATCTTCATGGAAAAGAAAACAACATTATACAAGGTCCGTCGAGAGATTAAACCCACTAGTTTTTCTCAGCCAGCCTCGTAGTTGTCTCTGTGACTAAATGATCTGACGTGAACCAAAATGAATAGGTGTGATCTTACCTTGCTCAAAGCCTTTGAGTCATCAAATCATTTATTTCTAATTGCGAATCTGGAATTTCACCGTGTCAGTGATCGGGGTGAACCGCCGATGAGGGGTTGTTTTGTGAATGAAGCCTTCTGGCATTTTAGTGCACATCTAGTCCATCACCGCTGCAGTGAGTAGCGGAGTTCCTCATGAATGGGTATTTCGACCTTTGTTGATTCTGCTCGATACCAGTGACTTATGTTCGGTGGAGGGGTAAATCTCTGTCCATCACATGAAGCCTATCGACACCCAGAGCTCTTCGGAATCTGGTTGTACTAAGAGATGAGACCTTTGGATGGGCCCTAGGAAGTGCATGACAGCCACTCTAGATAGTCTCTTCCCGTTGCAGACGTTTCTTACGTTTTACTTCCGGAGACTTATAATCACAACTCATGTTGGAATTTTGAAGTTGTCATAACCTGAAATACATGGATGTAGACGAAAACACTTCTAGTAGTTGACTAAGTACAAAGTGCGCTATTTGGGCTCAAAGCCTCAGTGATTAACCACAAATGGTTCGAATTTATTCCTCCCCGTTGGACGTATTAAGCCCACAATCGTGAACAGACAACAAATTACTCTAGGGGTCCAGTGGCATAATCAGAGTGGAATGAGGATTCAGTGTCCAAGTTGCGAGTAAAAACTAAGAGCGCTAAAGTTGTATTCCAAAGAGCGGAACCATTTGGCAGTAAATTGGATCTTCCCTGGTGAATTCTACAGGGTGGTTCTGCTTTTTGCATGTTGCTTCTCAAGGCTACTGGGGCCCAGCCACAACAAGCCTACGCCGAAAAAACATAAAGCACGACTAAAGCTTCTATAGATTTCCTCCGGGAGCGTAGGACGGCAAGCGTCTGGAGTGAGTTGGCTGAGGTATCATAGAATACCAATCCGAACAGGTCTTTGAGGTACATTTCTCCTTCATTCTAGCCTAGGGATGGCGTCACGCAGGTCAGGTAGGCGCTTGGTTTAAAACGTTCACCATAATCCTTCCTTATGTACCGCACAATAGAGGGGACATGGTTTGACCGAAGCGTCTCCTATCATAAGTATTTTCTGGCTGATCCGAACGGTTGCATGAACCCCTTATCTTTGTTGAAGAACCGAAGACGTGCAAACGGACTCCCGTTCTGATCAGCCGTCAACAGGCAGTCCGTCCGTCAAATGGCCCATGCGGCCAATCTGCCCTGCGATTGTCATTCTTCATTTTCACCTCCTTCCTTTTATGGCAATGAAAGAAGCAGTTGGTTATGTTCCTTGGTCAACGTGCATCCTTTTCAGAAAGCGCAGTATCCAGCGGCGTCCGGCACCCAGAGGAATTTTGTCCACTTCTCAATTCTATTGCTACATGTATATCTCCAGCTATCCGCCGCTATATTTTATACCATTTCATGCATATAACATTTTATACCATTTACATGGTGTGACGAGAAGTGAAACAACCATTATATGTGAACATATCTACAGTCCGAATGAATACAATTGCAGGGAATGATGAGATGTTGAGGGTAGATTGAAGCCGGAATTATTCTGATAAGTTGCGTTTCGGTAACCGAGTCTACTTGACTGTCCCGCACGAACTTTTAGACTAAAACTAAAATGGAGCTAACTCTTTATTTTACCCCTCACAAAAATTCTGAAGTCGAGATCCGTTCTCTTGACCTGCATCCCACATTGGATTGTTTGTTCAATGCACTGGCCTTCAGAAAATCTTGTGGAAAGCGGGAGTTCGAGTTCGAATTTCTGTCATGTCTGTGGGTTCTCTTGTTTGCTTTAATTCTAATATTTGACAGGAGCCACCTTCTCGAAGTGATCCGCTTGCGCCACCAAGTCCAGACTTGGACGATGCTCCATTTGAGGATGAGTCTGCAGCCATCTTGGGGGACGATGGTGCTGAGGAAGAAGAGGAAACCGGCGAAAATCTCTTCGGTGACGACATGGAGCGCGACTACCGGTAATTCGAAAAGCCTTGCTTAATTCTGTAGGCCTATTCCTGAGCTAGATGTTTATGAAGCGGAAGGATTGGCGCCACCTGATGAAGAGATCGAGGAGATGTCCCCCACAGCGCGCGCCGAAGCGGAACGGGAACTGCGACAGCGTGATCGAGAGCAGGCGCTCGCAGCCGGAGGCCTTCGTCGAGGGTTACTTGCAGGTATTATTAAATTCAGTGGTCTGATTCGATAGATTTATATGGTCCTGAGGATGATGATGAGGTGATTCCGGCTAGGAGACGGCGTCTTGCAGAGCGTGCAGCAGCAGGCATGGGCCCTGGAATGGAAGAACCTGAGGCCGTCCTTGAGAGCATCGAAAACCTCGAAGACATGAAAGGAATGTCAGTTGTTGAATGGGTACAACAACCAGCCACACGTCAAGAAATTAAAAACCGTTTCAAAGCCTTCCTCAGAACGTTCCTGGATGAACATGATCGAAATGTTTATGCCGAGAGAATTGTACAAATGGCTAGGGAAAACAGACAAAGTTTATACGTTGACTATCAGCACCTTGCTTCCGCCGAGCAAGTCCTAGCTTATTTTCTCCCGGAAGCTCCCCAACATATCCTGGAAATATTTGACGAGGTATTACCGTTGTGCTCTAATAATCTTTGCTAGGCTGCGCGCGATGTTACACTTGCGCGGTTTCCTCGTTATGATCGGATTACGAACCGCGTCCATGTTCGCATAAATGACCTACCTCTCATTGAAGACCTCCGTTGCCTCCGGCACCTACATCTTAATCAGCTCGTCAGAACGAGTGGTGTTGTGACCAGCAGCACAAGTGTTTTGCCGCAGTTAAGTGTCGTCAGATATAATTGTTCGAAGTGTGGCTGTTTGCTTGGTCCGTTTGTTCAGAACCAGGCGGGCAGCGAGGTACGCCCAACTACTTGTCCAGACTGCCAGTCTGGTGGTCCTTTTGAGCTCAATATGGAACAGGTGAGTGCTTTTTACCCTGTAAAAACCTGGGCTGTTATTAATCTGTTGGGTTATATGTTAGGCTATCAGATTCATTTTCACAAACACTGGCGTCCGATGTCATGCTTCTTACAGTTAGTTTTGGGGTTTGAAGTATGCTCTCAGACGTGTTCGGCTTGAATGACCCTAGTCACTAATATAGTTTAAATGAGGTCTGTCAGACTGAATGATCTTCCCATGTTTGAACCAAGCATTCCAACTTGTAAATTCCTACCAGTGTCCTACTTCATGCTTTCACTCACCTATTATCATTACCCAAGAGGTCATGAGTCACACCAGAATCGGTCTGTTATGGTTTGGGCTTAATGATCCAGTGAACTTTGTCCTTCCGGAGGGTCACTGCTGAAGGATGTGGATCCGGTTTCGGTGCAACTATGGACGTCATAACTGAAAATATGTTGGCTCGCCTTACTGCATTCGTCAGGGCGGTTAGTTGAAAACGCGCTATTGCTGACGCCCCTCCCCTTTCAACCCTACCCCACCCCAATTCGGCTCTTCATCCCGTGTTTGTTGTGTTGTCTTTCGACCCGACGGGCTATAGCTCTGAATCCGGTGCTGTAGCCATTCTACAGCGGGCTGAAATTTGGGCATCGCTGTGTTTGCTGATGATGTAAATGGCGCTCATGTAGGTAGGCTGGGCGATGCTGTGGACCATTTTGATGGGTGTCTCGAGTTGGATACGAAACGCACAGGCAACGGAGAACACCTACTGCAGATGCGTGCTTATCACAGGCTCTTCCTTTGTGGTACCGATTTCTGGAACAGTGGAAATCGCTTGAATACGTTGCACTCACCAACGGACCGAATACAAATATATCATTACCATTAGTTATCGTACCTAGGGTCGAACAGTGGAATACCTGCATGAATTCTGACTGTGGAGCCGTCAGCTACCCATTTTCACCGCACTTTTCAATTCTATGGAAATTGCACACACCTCGCTTCATCACTGAGGAGCTTGTGGACCAAGTAATCAAATACTTATCAGAACCGACTCCTCCAACGCCTGCTGGCTCGTCCGATGTCGGTCACTCAAACATATCAAAAGCGCTATTCATTGTCGGAACCCCGGCCTGTGGTACTGCCTAGTTGACCTCCAAGCTGTAAATCTCTGATAGGACCGTGGGTTTCCTGGGACCAGGCGACAGGTTCCTTGCGATCGCAAACGCAACTCAAGTCGACGCATCGTTCGACGCCGGGTAAAACCCAGTGCACGTGCAGGCCCTAAAGCTTGATGAACCTAAAAGGCCGAAGAGGTTAAAAATGCGTAAGATACTGTAAAAATCCGCAGATTGTCCCTTGTTGATTCTCCCGACAGGTCTTCGAAAGCCTCTTGGTAGTGGAATTATGAGGGACCGGTAGATACATTACTTCGAACAGCCATTCATTTAGTCACCTGCCACTTCAAATCCCGACCTTCAAGAGAAGGGTGGACTGTGAATGTGGAGCGACCTTCAACCTCAGATGTGTCAGTATGTAACTATTCATGCACTATCGTGCTCCTGGTCCACCTCTGATCAAGGATGGCCGTGAATTTCTCAGCCAGTGCCTAGCTAACCCGTTCGGGTCTATCTGAGAGAAAAGAACCGTCCCAGACAGTTGATGATAGTGCTCCTTTTCAAAAACGGTATTCGCAGTGAATTTAGTGTTCACAGTTGTCAACTTGCCTCCTGTTGCAATAGGGCGTCGCTGATTCTTTTATTACGGCGGCCCGATAAGCCTTAACATGTGAGCATGAAGCAAAATTACAACCGAGTAGATGATGCGTCGACCACATCTCCATATTCCGCCAGGTGTTGGAGCAACGCCATATGTACAAACAACTCAATGTTTGTGTTCGTTTACTTCGATGTTACGTTCGACTCCGTCGATTTTTCAGTGCTCCTAACAAGACCCGTTCACTGGGGACGCCCAAAAATCGTGAACATAATCAGGTCGCTGTACCACGTACGCCTGGGCGTGTGAGTGTGGATGATGAACTCTTCAAAGGCTTTCCTACAAAAAGTGGTGTCCAACAAAGGTGTTCACTCTCTCCGTTCTTGTTCAACGTGTCGTCGATCAAACAATAGTACGAACGCTGGACGGTCTTCAAAACCTAGGTTTTCGACCCGTTGCTGATGAGAACGTAGACGATATCGTCCTCGTTTTTGGAGGCGAAGGCGGGAGACATGCCCTGTTGAATAGACCGACAACCGCCATACCATCCTTCGGCGTGAGCCTTGCACCTTCAAAGTGCAGATTCATGCTTCAGAACGTGTAATTTCCAAACATACCCCTTACAATTCGTGGGGAATTTTATATGCCCTGGTATTAGCTCTGGCGAGTGTGTCTGGTGAAGTTGGCGCAGGACACCGAATCACGTTTGCTAAGTTTCGTCACTTGTGGCGTCCGTAGAAACTATTGTGTGGTTGCAAGACATGGCCTCTATGGACAGGAAATGTTGGGCTTTTTCAATTTTTTTGCCACCAGAATCAGAGGCGTTTCTGGTGTCATGTGCCGTCAGAGAATTAGTAACGTGTTTGTGCAGCAGGTACTTCAGTTGCGGACAATATCGAGTGCCGTAAACTGCGGCGGCTCACCCATGTTGCACGCATGCCGAAACATCGCCTACCGTGACGACTGTTCTCTGAGGTGGATAGCGTATAACTTTCCAGAATAGTGCAAAAGCTATTATGAAAACTTTGAGTGTTGGTGCGATCTGCCTTCTAGAATGGTGTCCCCGTAACCCCCCCCCCGTCCTTAGCTTGTCACTGAGAAATGGCGGCTGATCGATTTCAGTGGTCATACTGTCAGTTTCCATATTTCCAGTTGAGATTTCTGTGCTGAAAGGCCGAGAAGTATAGTATGACAGGATAAGATATCAGTTGAAAGTTACGGTCGATTTTCCCATTAAAAGGTGTAGACACCTCAAAGTGTTTGCGATAGGCTAGCACTAGGTCCTTTCCTTCTCACTTTAAAGTTTCAAGTATAATTAAACCAACTTTGCGATTGTACGGTAATAAATCATCAGTGTCAGCACTGAGTATGCACGATGTGAAACGTCGGTCAGTGCCATGTTAGCTCCTTCAGTTTCCCCGACTTGAGTCGTCTACTTTCCAATCCCTTATCGCTAGGTTGGGGGTTTGTTGCGGTTAAGAAAAATCATTTGCTGCTGTTGCTGTCGATGACACCTAGGTCACTTAGTGTTGTCAGTCACACGGTGCGTGGCAGTTATTCTCAACTGACCGCATTATTAAATAGATCTGTTCAATCTCGTCGTATGTGAAGGTTAGCATGAGTTTCTATATGAGAAGCAATGTAAAGTAAGACATGCATCTGCACCACGTGTCTGGTTATCTGGATACGGGATGTTACTGGGTGTTCGGAGGCGCATTGTTCACATCGCTACGCAAGTGGGCCACTAAACGACGTCTGACGTGTTTGACCTGATCACTACGTTAAACTGGGCCTTTTTCGACACCTGTTCAATCGTGGATCGGAGTTATTCCCACTTGTCATCTTACTGTGTTTCAGCAATTTGTTCCATCTTTTCTGGGCTTCGTAAACACCTTTGAGTTTCCTTTGTTCCTTTGCAGACTGTGTTCAAAAACTACCAAAGGATTACAGTTCAAGAAAGTCCTGGGAAAGTTCCACCTGGTCGCTTGCCGAGGTCTAAAGATGTCATCCTACTTGACGACTTAGTCGACGCATGCAAACCTGGTGATGAAATAGTGCGAACCATTTCCATAATATATTTTCGACTTTTAGGAGCTCACTGGGACTTATACACACAGTTATGATGGTTCTCTGAACACACAACAAGGGTTTCCAGTCTTTGCAACCGTTATTTTGGCCAACAACATCGTCCGAAAGGACGATAAAGTACGCGATGTCACGTCTTATCCATTATTGTCGTCTAGGTCACTGTCGAGAAGTTAACAGATGAAGACACAAAAGCCATTCTAAAGCTTTCCCGCGATGAACGTATTGCTGATCGGATATTTGCCAGTATAGCTCCAAGTGTCTACGGACACGAAGATATTAAACGGGGAATCGCTCTAGCGTTGTTCGGTGGGGAGCCAAAGAATCCAGGTAAGAGCTCCTTAATGAACACTTTATTTTCGGACACTGAGGTCCTCGTCTGATCCTCTGTAGGACGCGGATCCCGGGGATGAGTTCGATTTTTATGACGACTGCGTTGCCAGTTACTAGGTTCACAATCTTTGGTGATTTTGTCTTGGCTCCAGAACCTCCATCCTGCGAGCGAGGTAAATCCACGCTAAGAAGTCGATAGTCATCGTACAGCTGTTTCAACTTTTGGGAGTCACCAGCAGCCCGCCACGTGTGTGGTGAGCTACGCTGTCGTCCAGATTGATATCACTCAGCTTCGAAAACCTTCTATTGGTCGCTACTGAAAGTCTCCTGTTTAAGCTGTTGGTCTTTGTTTCAACGGTGCATGCTTTGAAGTACTTCAGTGAGGTGGCGACTTCAATAAAGGTCTGACAGAAGCATACTGTACAGTGAGGTCATGCTCGTGTTGCACTTTGTTTTCCACCAGCAAAGCGAGCGTTCACCGCTATGCTGTTCACTACCTGCAAAATTCAATCCTAAAAAAGTCGATGAGCACTGCCAGTGTAGACAACTTGAGAACAAGCAGCAGACAGTTCTGCCAAATACGGACTGGTTCGACATATAAAACACGACTATTTTGGCAAGGCAACCACCAAATTCACGTTGATCTCACAGCCATCCGTGTATGTGGTGCCGGTCTGAAAAGTGGTCCTACGGCGCATATCCTCTAAATCAGCTTGACCCCTTGAAAGATGTCCTGTCCACAGGCTCAACACTGACTGGAAGGAGTTGCGGCGACGGACAGCCATCATAATCAGCTTTAAAAACCTCGGGCTTGTGCAGTGGTCATAGCTGCCACAGTTCCGCTCATCGTTGATTTGGAGAAGTCGGAGTAAATAGCCACGCACTGAGGACGGCATCTGATATAATTGATACATGAATAAATGAGTGTCAATGGAGTTCTCAATGGGGAGAGAAAGCTATGCATTGAAAGCAACAGCTTGGATGCGTGCGCGCGACTGGATCATGTCTGACGATGCCCGTTGGAATGGCTGTTGATGTGCCATCTGCTCGCTGAGGACATTAAACTTTCAGCATTCTACCGTCGATGTATTCGGAACATTGCACATGTCTAGTAGGAATACAGGATTAATAATACAGAAGCACTTCGAATCGTATTCGGAGGTAATAATTCGCCCACGATAGATGAACTGACCACACTCTATAGGCTGCCCTGGCTTGGTCACATCCATCGTGTGCCAGTCGACCGTCTTCCTCGAAGAGCCCCTTTGGCACAGCCACACGAAGGGTGGGAACGAGCCAGGGGAGGTTAAGCAGTGGTTTGGCAACGGAGTATGAAAGCCATTACCAGCAAACTCAGCTGTCCCGGTCATCGCTGTCCCCCTGGGTGGGGACTCTAAAACGGGACATATCATTGGTTGGAGACATTGTCAGACATGATCCAGTCGCGCGCACGCATCCAAGCTGTTGCTTTCAATGCATAGCTTTCTTTTCCCATGTCCGCATTGAAAACCCCAATGACACTCCTGTATTCATGTATCAATTATATCAGCTGCCGTCTCCAACGCGTGGCTATTTACTCCTACTTTTCCAAATCAACGATGAACGGAACTGTAGCAGCCATGATCACCGTGCAAATTCGAGCTTTTTTTACAGCTTTAGATGAGGTGAAAATGTGGATTGATCGTGTTGAACAAAGTCGGCTAGCCCTTGTCGAATTGGCAGGAATCACTATGAGAAGTTAAAAGCTTAGTACTTCTTTTGGGTCGCAAGCGGTCGTTTAATGGTCTTTTTTGTCATGCAATTGGCGTCTATCGGATTTATCTTACGCTTTCTACTCGAATATCATCCCGCGTACTTACTCCTACTTTTCCAAATCAACGATGAACGGAACTGTAGCAGCCATGATCACCGTGCAAATTCGAGCTTTTTTTACAGCTTTAGATGAGGTGAAAATGTGGATTGATCGTGTTGAACAAAGTCGGCTAGCCCTTGTCGAATTGGCAGGAATCACTATGAGAAGTTAAAAGCTTAGTACTTCTTTTGGGTCGCAAGCGGTCGTTTAATGGTCTTTTTTGTCATGCAATTGGCGTCTATCAGATTTATCTTACGCTTTCTACTCGAATATCATCGTCACCGCGTACTTGACTTACAGTGGTTATGGCTGCCACAGTCTAGTTCACTGATAATTTGGTGAAATGGGTTAGGTGGCTGTGCGTTGGAGACGGCAGCTGACATAATTTATGCGTAGATACTGGGTCATCTGTGGACTTCTATTTGGGCATATTGAAAGAGGAGCTATGCATTGAAGGCAGCACTTTAGACGCACGAACTCCATTGAGGACGCTCTACTTGAATAACTTCGCAGTGTTTACTTACGGCTAAGTTGACGTCTGAAGTGCGGCGTTTACCTAATAATCCATGCAGCTGGTTTTGTGAAGTATTTCGAGAAAAATCATGCTACTCGCCGTTCTTATAAGTAGCACCAACGTAGATAGCATAAAAACCGGTACAGGTTTGCTACCGCCACGCCTTATCGTGAAATAATTAGTGTAGGTCACTAGTTCCTGTGGTTGTTTCGTGTATCGTTTACGCATGGATGTAGTGTTCATCCGTTCCTCTCTTGTAAATTTAATACGGACCTTATTGGGGTTAAGTGAATAGACCCGGAACAGTCGCCAATTTATGAGTCCGCTTGCATGCTCCTTCACGCATCCATTTCCACTTTATTCCTCATTTTCGTTATTTTCAGGAGGAAAGCACAAAGTTCGGGGTGATATCAATGTATTACTGTGTGGTGATCCTGGAACAGCCAAATCTCAGTTTTTGAAAAGTGTTGAGCAGTTGGCTCCACGTAGTGTTTTCACCACAGGGCAAGGGGCAAGCGCTGTAGGCCTGACTGCCTATGTTACTCGAAATCCCATGTCGAAGGAGTGGACCCTGGAAGCCGGTGCCCTCGTCCTTGCAGATCGTGGAGTTTGCCTGATTGATGAATTCGATAAGGTATAAACACTACAGGATTTTTGTGTAAACTGTGGTGTCCCCATCGGTTTAGCTTAGGTTCAGTAGGGTATCCTAACCACTAGACCATTGCTTTTCCCCGTTGTTTTTACTCGGTTTTAGTTTCGACGTTTCATTTCACCGAGTACCTTGTTTTTCTAAAGCTTCATAAATTTTGCGGTTTCGAAACTAGTCTATTGGATACACTATCGAATGTATTCAAGATTCTTCACATGCTTGTGCTTTTTTTCTCTCCAGATGAACGACCAAGATCGAACATCCATCCATGAGGCTATGGAACAGCAAAGCATATCCATTAGCAAGGCGGGTATCGTCACTAGTTTGCAGGCCCGATGCACTATTATTGCAGCAGCCAATCCTATTGGAGGACGATACGATCCTAGCATGACTTTCTCGGACAACGTGGATTTGAGTGAGCCCATTCTCAGTCGCTTCGATATTCTCTGTGTGGTTCGCGATACGGTAGATCCGATTCAGGTGGGTGCTATGCTAAAGTTTACACTTGCCTCATTTCCCGCTTTTGAGTACCATCCAGTGTCTAAGGAAGTTTGAGCGGCTTGCACAACTTCTTGTACACCATGTACTGTCTCACCCGAACAGGTTGTATTTCCTTAGTAGCTCATATTTTTACCAAAGCGGGACTTCAAACGGATACCGATATATTGCCAAATTCACCTTTTTGGTTGCAAACGCACGATTTTCCTTCTGTACACTAAAAGTTTCACTAGGAAGTTTTCTGCTGTTGCTGCATTCAGTATACATATGAATCTGAAACAAACCAGTCATCGGTGGCGAGTTCTATAAATCAGTGTTCGTCTTGAGTAACCATCCATTTTATCACACGTAACGACTATGGTATCACTTCCGGGTCCTTTTGGATTTTTAGGAAGCCCATTTTGCTAAGTCTTTATCCGCGCAACTTAGTTTTCTTGAAGACTTTTTACCCCTCGCGTTACTTTGACCAGGCTAACCGTCGTGTTTCTAGTATCCATTTTGATGCAGCGAGCTGACCGGTCTGCATCACTCCGAGTGAATTCCATCACTGGCTCAGTGAATTCATACCGACTGTATTGCATAGTGGACTTGTGGAATGTATGCACAAATGTGCGATGCTTGCCTAAAAAGTTTTTCGTTTTTCGTCCCAGATCCAAAGAGCAAACTAATGAACAAATAACGTATGACTGCAGAAGGATTTTACGAAGTGTCTGTGCTTTCGGTGCACTATAACTTCCAAGCTTGAATATGTGTGCGTTTGTGTGCCCGGGTGTAAGGGCGGTAAAATATAGCCGCATTCATGCCGTTAGTTGCTTTTCACCATGGGTAACTTATCTCCTTGACTACTTAACCGATATATATATATATATATATATATATAT